ATGCGGTTAACATCAGATGACCCCACGACAGTTCTTGCCGGTCGCCATGAGTTTACGTGTTCCGATTTATCAATCACAGCGCACCTTCGAGGTAAACTTCCTTCCCTCCTCCTAGGTAATGCAATTGGTACGAGAGTCTGTGATTTTGGTGCAAGAACAGTTCTTCTTAAACAGCAAACTTTCCCAGGGTTCCACCCTTCATCGGAATTTCCTCAGTTCCACATAGTAATACTCCAGATTTTAAGTCGATGTTACACTGGTGCCCTTGCAGGAAGTCAAGTCCCAGGATGCAGTCATCCAGAATTTTGGCCACAATAACCTCATGTCGATAAACACGTTCCCCAATTTTGATTGTTACATGCAGTTTTCCACTTATCGGTATGCACTGGCCGGTAGCTGATTTCATTTGTAGGCCAACAATTGGTTTAAGGTGTTTCCTGATGTTGTGCTCGAGCAGCCGAACATTTATCACCGTCCTTGAAGCTCCAGTATCTAATGTTAGCTGACTGTTTTTCCCATTTACTTGACCGTCTATCACCAGAGTATTTCCATCGTTGGTTTGCTTGATGTAGATTGTTGGGGTTGTTCCACTACCAGCCGGCGCCCACCCCGCAGCCCTGGCTGGGTTTAAGTTTCCCTGCTGGTCAGAAGTTGAGACCGCCGCGTCCTTGCGGTTCATCTTCTTCGGGCAGTCGCTCCGTATGTGCCCACGCTCTCCACATCCATAGCACATGAAGTTCCGACGGCGTGGAGGTACCTGCTCCGTTGTCGTCATTTCCCGCAGACGTAAGGTACGGGAGTTGCTACGCACGGCTTCCACTTCCAATGCATGGGCCAGAGCTTCTTTCATGATCTTGTGATGGCCCAGATGAACAGCAGCTCGTACTTCTGGGTCCCGAATACCGTCAATGAACGCTTGGAGAAGCGTGCCTTCAATCATTGACGGAGTCGACCGGAAAGCTCGACGTACAAGTTTCTCGATTTCCACGGACCATTGCTGTAGGCTCTCATTAGCACGCTGAGTACGCTCTTTTAATTGCGCTCTATACACGTGCTCGAGGTGGCTGTCTCCAAAACGTGCTTCAAGTGCGTCGAGGAGGGCACTAAAGCTGAGATCCCCACTTGCGCCGATAGCTTCCAGCACTGAGAGCGCTTGATCACGGAGGGCCAGGGTAAGGGCTGACTGTGCTTCCTTCTGAGTCCAACCATAAGCCTCCATAAGTGTCTCAAACTGTAGCTTGAACGCAGTCCAGGATGTTGTTCCGTCGTAATGGGGAATCTTGAGCCCTTTCGTTGCGCTTAAGGCCGCATTTGGGGCGTCAAAAACGGCTGCAAGACGGCTTCGGCTCTTCAAAGGGCTTGGGTTTGTCACTTCCTGCTTGATTTTGGAGATCTCTTCTTCCAGTCTCTCCTCTATCGCCATGACGCGAAGTTTCAACTTGCCTAACCCTTCCTCCACTTCTTGTACCCGTTCGACAGCCTTTTGCAGTCCCTTCGTAAAATCCTTATGCATCTCTTCCAAGCGACGCGCTTGCTCCTCTTGGCGGCGAGCTTGATCCTCTTGGCGACGAGCTTGATCTTCTTTCAGCTCCCGAATCTGTTCTGCCTGACAGCGTGCTTGCTCTTCTTGGCGGCGCGCTTGCTCTTCTTGGCGGCGCGCTTGCTCTTCTTGGCGGCGCGCTTGCTCTTCTTTAAGCTCCCGCAGCTGTTCTGCCTGACGGCGCGCTTGCTCTTCTTGGCGGCGCGCTTGCTCTTCTTGGCGGCGCGCTTGCTCTTCTTGGCGGCGCGCTTGCTCTGCCATCATTTGCTGCAGCTGTAGCAGAAGATCCACCTGCACAGGCTTGGCTTCTGCATCGCTGGTTCGAGCTGCAGCACCCTCTTCCCTCACACGCTGCGCTTCTGACATTGAACGGGTACTCACTCCTCTTACGTCCTGCGGCACTAGCGGCATTTTTCTCCAATCCCACTTCTGACACCAAATGTTACGTGCCTGCCGTCACGTTCCTGACTATGCGGGCTTGGTTACGGGATTGGATGAAATGAAACACTAATACCGGTTTTCAAACTTTCTATTGCACTTAAGTTACAGCGTCCACGGAGTTAAGTTATCGGCGTTCCTCTCCAGCAGAGTCCGGCCGACTGACACAACTTTGCCGTTCACGCTGACTTAACTCACTTAACTGACTGTACTTCACTATTTCACTGCACTTCACTATTTCACTCACTTTTCTTCTTTCTCACTTCTTCCTTTTCTTCCGAATCGCTTTAGACTTAGAACTCAACTGCCAGCGGTGAGCCGCAGTTCCGCTTATATACCCCCGGTCAGGTTCTAGAACATTCAATTTCGTTATTCTTTTTGATCGTCATGCCTCCAGAACCTTCCAATAATTTCGTTATTCATTTTTATTTATTCTCCTTCTCGCTCCTTAATTTTTCATCACTTTCACTCAAATATTCCAGAAAGTTCGACAAAACTTCCATCAACTAAAAAACTTCATGTTTACGGCGGGACTCGAACTCGGGGTCTCTGTGGTGTAATCCACACGCCTTACCGATTACACCAACTCGTGTTGACAATTCACGACGAAATTTACAATCTCTAGGCAACGTTTGACAACCATCCATTGACGTCATGATGTCAAAGAGTTTTCTGTCACAATATGATTGATCAACCGAAGTACTAATAGGGTGGGGGTTGACAAAGAACGATATTCCAGTTAACTCTGCGACTTTCTGTTAGTTTTTATCAATATAGATGTTAGTAGTGTCCGCGTCGTGGACGGAGTCGAATAGGAAGAGTTCCACAACAGAGCCGATCGCGGCGCGCCCGTCCAGCCAGCCCGCCCGATAAATATCTCATGAATAAGAATATTGCATTACGTATTCCCTGCGAGTGTCCCCACGTACGACGACTGAAAACTAATTTACTTTAAAGCGCATGTTTGTACTCACCCCAACCCTACTTACTGACTCCATCGCCTAAAATCAAAGCGTGGGACTTGATACATTTTCTTTATGTTTCAGGAGCCAGATTTTAAAGTTGAGCTCATTATCAATAAACAACGCAGCTGTAAGCTCATCATTTGTTCGATACGCCATGCTTTCTAGTTCATTGAATAGTGAGCCCGACCAACCGTTTATTATCTATGTACATTATTTATTTAAAATATTCTGAATAGATGCCGATCGAAGGCAAAATTAATTTATGGAAATACCTCGGGCAAAGTTGAAAGCTTGTTTAGAACTAAATGGTTGTTTTATCGCGCATTTTCTTAGTGAAAAAGTCAGTACTTACATTGAATGGAGCCACGTAAGTGCTCTCCACGGCGGTCCCCAATAGTCCCCATTCGGTTTATCATTGTCGCATGCTATTCCGAATCACACTCAAAGCTCTCTAAAAGCGTCGCGAAAAAACAGTTTATTTTTTATCTGAAAATTGATTTCCGGAGAACACTCGAACAAACCAAAGGAGTGCCTACTTGGGCTAACACAATAATATTCTCACAAGGCGGAACTTTGTACGAGTATTTATCGATAATAGACAAGTGTCTCGCGCGCCAATTAAACATTTCATCTGTAAGCGCAGATTTAATTATCAAGAACATTACAAGTACCCACGAGAGGCTTAGCGACGGTGAAACCAAAATTAGTGCGAATTAGCTTTACGATTCTAAATTATAAGGCTTTAAGCCCACAGAGTGCCTAATTTACGCCAATAGCGCAAAAAGTCTCGTGGTAGCAGTTGAATGAGTGTTGTAGTTTTTGCCGCAGAAACTTTCGGTGAAGATGAATAGCGCGCTTAACGTTTAGCCAGAGCCGTTTCATGATAAATAAATAAATTAAATAAATTTTATTAAAAAAACATTGAACACGTTTACAATTACAGATGGCTCAGATTTTATAGTAATAAAAAGTCTTAATAATAACAATCGTAATAGTTAACTTAATCTAGTCTAATACAATACATATGTGAGGAAATAACGTTCTTAGTCTAAATATTAGGGACTACCCGAACTAGGTTTATTTAAACCTGTGTTTCAGGCTATCAATGCAAAAAAAAAATAATTCAATGGATATAATAATAAATAATTATCGTATTTCATAATGTAAGACTAAGCTTTGATGATGTTTGCACATCTGGTGTCCGCCTTCAGACGCACGTAAAAACCAACTTTTTTCTTTACCTAACTAAATATTCTTATAATTTCAGTGTCTACTAGGGAATCGTAACTTCGAAGGGTTAAACTTTGATAAGTTTGTAACTCATTATTAAAGTAGCGGATCCGGTGCGCGTATGAGGTGTGGGGAAACTCCTTAAATGTCTAATAATTAAACGGGTTGTCGTATTATGAGCCCCTGGTGAGTGTTAACCTGAATGGGATAACGGGCTGATATTGCCGTTAGAACAACAAGATAACAATCGGCTGAGGATCATTCAAGGAAATCCTGGTATTTACTAAGGGACAGGGATCATTATTCGCGAAGACATGAGTGGAGCAAGCTTGGCTTACTGTTAATAATTAAAGACCGACATTGTACATGTCGCTTACTACACTATGTAAATAATTAAATATTCTTGGAAGGTAATTAAACCTTATGGCAGTTAAATAATAACTAGCTTACTAATGTGGAATCGTTATTTTAATTTGTAACTCCATAAACAGAAAACATAAGTGATATTAACTAATACAGGCATCCTATGCTTAAAAGGAGGCTTCAAACTTAAATACTATGTTTGTACAATTTTTGGTTTTTTCTAATAAACAATTTTTATTTTTTATTTTTTTATTTATTATTACATTTATGTTTTCTTGATATATGAAAATAGTAGTATATTGTTAAACGCCGCCTGCATACGTAAACAGGTTTCGAAAGGATCGAGCAGATCATCTGGATAAGGACAAGGGCGACGGCGACAGCGATGGTTGTATCAAGGTGGAGAAGAGGAAGAAACCAACCCTTGTCGGAACCAGTGCGGTACTGCATTGGCAGGGCCCAACATGTTGCTGCGTCCAGCGGTGCCGACAACGCTGCTGTACGTGTCCAGACTGCCTCATTCCACGAAGGTTGAAGAAGTCGTGGAATACTTGCGCGTAAAGACTAACTGGACTTCGAGGGTCGAGCTGTTGGAGTTGCGTCAGTCAGTCAGGTAAGCGAAACACGACGCCGACACTTTGTGTACATTAATAAAACAATGAAATAGTCAATATGTAATATTTATTTATAGTATTGTAGAATTTTATAAAATTTAGAATTGTATATGTTTATATGGGCCTTCGATGTCTGACATATGGATAAATAAAAAATAATATATTGTGAAACATATTAAAAAAAGACTATGGCTCAATCAATTGGTTTGATAACTTAATTCGATGTCTATACAGTTTCAGTCGAAAATCGGCTGCATTGCGAAATGGAATACGGACTCACAGTTGGGTTACGCTAACTAGTGGAAGAACTTGTGCAGAGTTAGTAACACTCTTAATATCTTTAATAATAATTAAACAAAGAGTTAACGGAAGTCGTCAGGTGGACCGAGACGCGACACGGCGCAGTTTTAACACAATTTCGGAGTTTTGGCGACATCTGGGTATTAAAAGGGGGAATAACAAAGAGTTTAAGATGTACCGGTCACAGTTTAGGACGGATTCTTTAATTTAAAGTAAAACTTTTCGTTCCAATGAGAAGACGTTGGTTAAGTAGCTGGAGAGTAATTGGAATATTGCAGGAATTCACAACCAGTGGCTAGCTGGACCGCGCTCCGTGGTAATTACTGAGTTAGCATCTCGCCGGCGATCACTTCTCCCGGTGAGAGCAGAGTGTCTAAGGGATAAGATTTGTCCTTGGTTGATGTGATAGGGATTAACGTAGCTGTCGTTGCTCTACTTTTTTCTTGTTTAATACAGTATCTAGAATAATTTATGCGATAAATTATATTTTATATGGTACGCTGGCAAACGAGCTTATGGATTACCTGATGGCATGGAATCGGCGCCGCCCACCGGACACATGCAATACTAGAGGAGTTGCAAGCGCGTTGCCGGAATTATGTGGAAAAATTTTTGGGGACTTAGCATTGAGATGGATGGGGAGGGAAAGGATTGGGCCTCCTGTAACCTCACTCATAAAACACAACCGGTTTTCTGTGAGGCTGTGGCACTCCTGTCGTGCCAGGCCATTCGTACCGAAGCATTGCTCTCCGTCACTTGAAAATAGTAGTATATTGTAAATAATGTAGTAAGTACCTACTGTAAAACTTATTTTATTTACTCTAGGAATATATAAAAAACTTGAAGTCTTTTTTAAAACATGTTTGCCGCCCAGTATCTCAGGCCGAGGTCGGTTCTTGTAAACTTATTTCCAGTTCCCAGCATCTGATGGGTGTCCCGAGGGTGTAATATATTAGGAGCACTTCTATTTACCAGCAGCCACTGGAAACGCTCCCCTGACGAATATATCCCGAACACTTCTTGCAGTTTCATATAATATAATTAAATGAACTTAGAAATTCTTTGAATACTTTTGTTACAAATTCACTCGGGTATAATTACACTGCGCATAAATTCGTTTTAAGGAAGTGCAGCCATCATTAACTCAATGTAAAATGATACTATGTGTGAATGACGTATTTCATAAGCAATGCGAGTCGGAAGTCTGATCTGAGGTTCTGATGCACGGTCAGTGATATTACCCTCGCAAATGACTCTCCGCAACATGATATAAGCTGCTGTTTAAACTTTATAATAGTAGAACGCTCTACAGATTGACACACTGCCCTCATCGTCACCCAAATCGTCTTCTAACATATCAAGCACACCCTGTTAACTCAACGTGAAAATTATTTCCAACAAACAGGGTGTTCGTAGCAATTAACACTAAGCAGAACTAACTAATGCAATCATCAAATCAAAGAGACGGTTCACAAGTGTTCACGAAATTAATTATATATTTAATAGAACTTCAGCAAAACTGTCGTATCTCGGCGACCCAAATCATAAACAGATAGACAAGTGGGCAAATAAAGTGGCTCGGGTGTCCTGAACAAAAGGGAGGTAGCTGCCCTTAGCGCCACTCTCGACAGATATTATGAGACCTTCATTATTAACGACAACGCAGAATTTACTCCGCAGATTTCGACCCTCCACTATTGCCGTAATCTCAGTAAAATACCGGCTCTTGTTTATGAGTTTCTGGTACCTTCAGCAGATTGTATAATGTTTTTGATTCTTATCACAATAATGACGGAAAGGTAGCACACCCGTTTATATAGTTTGTTTTCTATACAAGATCAAGACTTTTCCCGTAGCAGTTAACCTAAATTTTTTTTTAATTCGAATACTGAACGATGTAACAATCCCAAACGTAAAATTAACTTAGTTACGATAAAAAAGGGTCACACGTCAAAGAAAACATGATAATAATGTAGAACATCGAGGTAGGCTTTGCTATTTCAATGTATGAATCAGTTCAGTGACTAAAGGCTTTAAAAAATTATTTCTATAAAAAGTTTAGAGCCATAACCACACACCAAAGAACAACTGGATATACATTCACATATTAAACATATCAAAATCGGTTTAATAATAACGTTAAATCAAGTCACAGGGATTCAATCAATTACACCCGCCAAAACCGTTTACTAATAATTGCTCATGAAAATTGAGCGTGCTCGGTTAAATGTGTCGAGTCACGAGCACAGATCACATGATAAATTAAGTTTAATGTTAAATAAAGATTGTGAGCCACGAGTTATTCTATTTATAGGCGAGGTATCTATCTATCATCTAGCATCTAATGTAGTCTTTAACGAACAGTAGATACTAGTCATTCAGACTATGAAAATATGTCACTACAAAGCGATTTAGTTGTGCGTCAGTGTATTAGGGCAGCAGAAGCTGGCCAGGGTCAATAGTAGGCGGACGGGACAGCTCCGACAATGGCGTTAAATCGCGTCGAGAGAATTAGTTCGAGAGGCCGCCCGTCCCGGCCACTTTGTTGCAATTTGCGGCAATTTACTGTCACTATTTCGTAACTATAGGCTCACAGGAGACACCATAAAAGCTGTTTAAGTTTTCACAACAATGCAGGTACAAAGTACATCACTTTTTTGACCAATTTATTTTTTAATAAGTCTAACTTCTTTTACCAGTTAAAAAATATTAACTCCAACAAGTCTTTCTTCTCAATAAGTTGGGAGCAAGGAGCCTCAATCTTACACAAACCTTGATTGTTGAGTAGTGTTTTTCAAAGATTTTTTTCCTCAGTGAATACATAATGAAATAGAATATGTATGAGGGATTTACGCTAAAAAGCTAATCTGCTGAAGTCGTTGTTCAAATTAGCGCGAAGTTAAACAACGCACTACACTGTCTCGACAAATGAATGAAATTTTGTATACTTAGTCTATGTGTGAACAGTGTTTCTTTAACATCCATTAATGGTCATAATCGATTCAAATCATGACAAAGAGAAGGAAAAACCTTACAAAAGTTTATTAGTTAAATGCTTAGTTAAATACAAAAAAAAAACAAGTGTTTCATATGTAGACACCCGTTTTTTTTTTGAGGTGCAAGTTGTCATGCACCCTTGATTTCTGCTGCCCTAGGGGAGACAAGAGGTGGTGCCAGATTCTTACTGGCTAAAGTCCGGTCGGGAGCAGGGCACATTATTGCCTGAGCGGGCCTCACATGTGGTGGTCGGCGCTCAGGTAATAACAGCGAGCTTGACCCTTAGTTGGACACAGGAATTCCTCCTACCATTCAGTGAACATGGTCATGCCCAGAGCAGCAGACTTTTGGCTCCAGTATTTAGACACTCTAAAGTTACAAATTTCGTACTCGTTATATATGTATATATTTGTAGACAATATACTTAAATTGATCCTTGCAAAACTACTGACTTAAAACCAAAAACCTGCCCACAAGCAAGATGAGATACAAAAGTTAAGAGGTATAAAAGTTAAGTCGGTGCGCAAAGGTTAATCCGTTAATTAGTTGCGACCTGCAATTAGTGTATCGTCCGTCCAACTAAGTGCAAAGAGTTGTTTGCTAGTTCAGAGCCGTTCTGATCCGGTCTTAAACGTATAATCTCGGCCAATGAGGCGGGATTTACGATAATTCAATTTAGGGAGCATAGCGACTCTGTATGAGCTCCTGGTAACACATATTATGTTTCATTAGTAACACACACGGTTCACACCACAGGTCGCTGCTGAGGTGGCATAATACATAGAGCTTACACAGGTCCACTTTTTTAAACGTTTTTTTATTTACTATATCCCGATATAAATATGTGTACCTATAAAGTCTTTTTTATAGATTAATCGTAGATCATTTCGTGTTTTAACATATTTCCGGTACCAAAGCTTGACTGGTACAATACCGCCGACGTATCTTGGCCGGTTGTGGGACTCTTGTGAAACAATGAATGAATGAAATTATTTTTGCAAATAGGCCATAAAACGGCACTTTTACACGTCAAATTATACGTGAAAAACTAGATGAAGCCGGCATTTCCTATCTGACTACTCTGAGAAGAATTGCCGAAACAAATTCAGTCTGAAGTTAGCCGATTAGCTGCGCAGTACACAATTTTGTTCATAAAAGACCCATTGCGCAGACAAACGGCTAACTTCAGACTCCCCAAGATACGGCGGCCGTACTGTAGAGAATGCCATACGGCATCAATTCCGCCTTTTGTACCATTTATTGTGTACAGAAAAAGCTTTTGTTGCACATTATTTTTTATATAATTGCATTTGAATAATACATATATAAGTACTCCGTAAATTTTCAAAATCATAAAAAGGCATTTTCAAAAGAAAATTATATTTTTTTTTATGAAATATTTCGGCAACCGTGCAGACGTATTACCTAATGGTAAGCAATCAGCGCCGCCCATGGACTCCCGCAACGGAGGAGTTACGAGTGCGTTGCCGACCTTTTAGGGATTAGGGATTGAGGAGGGATTGGGGGCGGGGAAGGATTGGGCCTCCGGTAACCTCAATCACACGGCGAAACACAACGCTGTGGTTGTTTCACGCCGGTCTTCTGTGAGGCCGTGGTATCACTCCGGTCGAGCCGACCCATTCGTGCCGAAGCATGGCTCTCCCACACTTTAAAAAAATCTTTGCGTTTCTGCATTTTTCAC